TAGGGAATAAAAAGATACTTAAGTGGGGGTGGGGGTGGGGGGGAAGAAGAAAAAAGAGCCCGTTTACAATGGCTAGAACTGGGGCAAAGGCTTCACTACATGACTTTCACTGTTTCTAGGATTTTCCTGCATCTCATTCTTCTAGCATGGTGATAACTGCTGTGTGTCTCCTGAAAAAGAATGGAGCCTCTGTCTGTACTTTTACTGGAATGTTTACCTCACATTTCCATGTTGGTTCTTCTTGGCTTTTTTTGTATATTTTTTCCAAAACAGATGCGGGGAAAAAAAAAAAAAACTATCAAAAAAACCAAAAACGTGTAGCCTGGTCTCTGTCTTTTGCATGTGACACAAAGAAAATCTGGGGTGTTTGTGTCTGGTCTTGCCTGGTTTCTTACAGGCTGGTATTTTTTCCTGACTCTGCTGATGTCTGCTTCAGTCTTAGGAATATGATGATCAGACTTGGGCTATGCAGGCTTTCTGTGACCGTAAGAAACCATCAAGAGCATCTGGGTGCCTCACTACAACTTTGATCCAAATTCCACAGGGAAAATTTCTGCTGAGTAGGTTTGGCTGTGGAATTGGTCCTTGTTCTGCTATGTGAGGAGAATAATGACACATTAGGAAGCCTTATCAGCAGTCAGTACTCCACTCACCACACTCAGTCAGAAGCATGTAAGTCCGCTCATACTCCAAAGGGTTAACAGGGGGTTGAATTTTAAGATGAAAACTTTATATTCTGTATCCGAGGTTTTGCAGCTGTGGTCCCTGGGTTTGTGCTTCTCCAAAGTCTGCAGCACGAATCTCACATTCTTGGTCAAGAGCTCGCCAGAACTGGTAGAGGTGTCATCTCCCTCTGCTTATCTGCCAGCGTGACGGTACCAGCAGCCTTCCTGAGGGTGGAAGATGTGGGTTTTGAGTTTCTTACCCATATTCCAGGTTGAAGAGGGATTTGAATCTTGATTTTCCGCTTCCTGAAGGACTTATTTATCCTTCCAGCTAAAAGCCACCACAGGTGCCAGTTTAAAGTAAACCTGGTTGTTCTTCTCAAAAATTGCTACGTGAAAACAGTGCCAAGTGGAAATCTGAGTAACAGTGAACACTGCCACAGGCCTATAAAAACAGCTGTCATCAAGGCAGCTTGTAGAATCCTTCCCTGCCTGTCAAAGGACCCCAATTTTTGTAAGTTCTTCTAATAGTTTCTAGTTTTCCATAGAGGTTAGCTGTATGTCAGGTGTTTTGCAGCTATGGAAAAACTTGTAAGAGCTACACATTAGTTTTTCTTCCCCTGTAACTGATCAAAGTTTGCTTTTAACCAGAGGAGGCAAGTAGTGAAGTCAGGAGGACAAGAAAATAAATGCAAGTCTTGAGAAATTTCACCCACAGGTGAAAAGTTTTCTACAAAACATGTTTACAGTGAGGTTAAATTCTGTATGTATGATACTTCTGGGAATGGTTCAGAAATACCCTCGTGATATCACCCGCTCTCAGAGCTCCCCTAGTTTCTTTGGGTACACAATTACCTGAAGCCCTTGGGAACTGCTGCTTTTGTGTGTCACAGTGCTCCGTTCCTTTATTCAGCTGCTTTCTTCTCAGTAGCTCTGAGGAAATTTAAGAAACTCCTTCTCCTCTCCTTTCAAGTTGAGGAATTACAGCATAGTGTTGTTTTGCTGTGTCATGTTCCGTTGCAGCACGAGAGCCGGGAATGTTTCACTGGTCGCTGGAAGGCTGGCTGATCACAAATGCCTTCCCTGCAGCTTACGCAAAAAAAGTGTGATGAATATCTAAATTTCTATCACCTTGCCTGCCTCAGAGACTGCTTGGGAGCAGTGAATTTGAAGTATTCTTTTAAGGAAATTTTGTTTTGTTTCCACTAAAGGGAAGATGCTTACACCTCTTAGTAGTCATTATCTAAAAAAATTGCTTAGCAGTGTTACCTGCACTTTCTGGTCATGCCCCAGCCCCATTCTGTGTCCCTCCCAGCAGCTGTAGTAGCTCACCAATATGAGCAAAAGAGAGAGTGAAAAGCAGAAGACTGAAAAACAGGAAGTTAGGCAAGAAAGAAGCATGACAACAGCCTCATCTCGAGTTTTGCTGTGACTGAGCTGAGCTGAATTGCCATTTCCCTAATTTCAGGTACTTCAGTCCCTCTGAGGTGCAAACCTCACGTTTTAATCAACACCCGTGTGCAAGAAGCTGCAGGGGCTAATGTAGGAGGGAAGAGGTCAGACATGGGTGTTTGAGATGTGAAACTTCTAACTGCCTGTAACAGTTGAAAAACACCTGAAAAAGCAAAATCTGAAATTACATCAGTCTTGCATGGCACACCTGTGCCACAGAAGGGCTAAGACTTCTAGGTGTTTAAACACTTTTTTTTAATCCTTAGGCTTTCCGAAGTACCTAATTTCTATTGAATTCAATTAGAAACAAATAAATAAAAGCCCCACCCATGCATTTGCAGGAGGACTTCTCTCTGTTTCAGGCAGAATCAGTAGAGAAGAATCAAAAGCAAGCATGGAAAAGCCAGGTAAGGAGCATATTTCTTAACAGAGAGACTGGTGTCTCCATGAAAGAGAGAGTGGCTCCTGCAGGTCTAGTCAACATCAACACTGTCTCTCTGTTCCACTTTGGAGAAGGATAAACTTGTTGCTAACGCCAACCTCCCATTTCCATACGGTGTGCCGATCTTCCCTCCATGCACACACCTGAAGACGGGCAGGTGGTTGTCCTGATCCCAAGAGCTGCATTCCAGAGCCTTTGCAGCCAGGCAATGGGCACAACCCACACACCAAGAGGAGCAAGAAGAGCAGCTTTGCAGAGGTACCCATTGCCCTGTCAGACAGGCATTAGCCTGGGAGCCGAGAGAGGCCACAGCCAGCCCGCTGGGTGACATCCCAAGCAGGGAGGGTCAGACTCTGCAGCCAGCCCCGTTACAGAGGCCAGGTCCATACCTGAAGTGCACGGAGCTGCACACAGCCTAAGAGGTTGTCCAGCTCCATGATGAAAACCCAGCCATTGCAACATACTTCATGCAGTTAGCCGCAAGAGTGGACTACAGAAGCCACTGTTAGCTGCCTGAGCTCTTTGCACACTGAATATAGAGAATGACATGCCTTGAAGCAGGAACAAACAAAAAGAAAATAAAAATCCAATGGCTAACTAAAGACTGAATATTCACTGGGTGATAGTTTCCAGAAGGTGGACACTCATTGCTCCTGAAGTAGCGGAAGCAGTTACTGCTGACTGGGTCTTGTTTTCAACCTCAATCAAATAAAATAAATATAAATAAATTAAGTGATAATAAAAAAGGTACGCTGGCTTACTTCCCTGCTCCTTCCCCAAGAGTTTACGGGGCCACACTAATCTTGGTGGCCAAGTTAACGAGGGCTCCTGATGTAGGCAAACTGCATTCACAAAAGCCCATTACACAGTCTGGAACCAAAGACAGTAAGTTTACAAGCTGCAAGGAAGAAACCGGGGGGCTGCCTCACCCTGTTTATCCCCACTGCACCTTGTAACTGGGGCAACACAGTAAAGGCCAAAAGCATACAGTTACCCTTTTCCTGACCATGCTGCACAACCGTTTCACAAGAACGTCTGCCCTTTTTTCCGGTATAATAAACAGAAATGGTGAAACCTGAGGACAAGTAAATGAACATTTATTGGTGATGTTCGGTTGCTACCACAGTGAAAGGGCTCTGCTTCTGCTCAGCAGGCCCGCCTCAGGAAGACAAGCAAAGCAAAGCAGTGCTTCATGGTAGAACTCACTTCTTCCAGGTAATCTTCAGGTTTGGGGGCAGATCTGCAGCACACAGTTCATCAAACTTGGACACATCCTTCACAGGCGTACTGTAGAAATTCAAGACATCTTCAGCACTGCACATCAGGTGCAGCTGTGAATTGGGGACAGCATGACCAAGTTCTGCTGCCAGCTGAGCCAGGAGGCGAAATTTTAACCTGTTTTCTTCGAG